AACAAGAGTGAAACATCATTATCAGGGCCGTCTCCGAGAAATCAGGGGCCCTAGACGTCACGGAGAAAATGGGCCATTGTGTCATAATAAAATAAAGTCTATCAATTAAATTTTTTTAACAATAAAAAATATTATAGTAATAAGAATAATAAAATATCAAATTCATAGTTTTATAAATTTATAATCCATAGCCTTAACCTGTTTTTTTATAAAAATATATAATATATATAGAATATATACAAAAGAAGAAAAAAGTGGGGCCCCCTCCAAAATTGGGCCCTGTCCAGGTGGCCACCTTGCCCCTGGTTTGAGCCGGCCCTGATCATTATAGAGCGAAAGAAGGGTATTAATTTTATTTTAAATTCAAAAATTGGTTAGTGGGCGTGTATGCATGATTTAGAAATTACGGGAGTTTTACAAATAAGATTTATGAAAAGAGAGGGTGTGGGTGCTCCTTTTGTAAAACAGGGGAGTATGCGTGCTATTAACCCTTTTTTAGTGTCAAATTAAATTTGGTGTATTTCTAAAGAGAGTACTTCCAAAATCTGTCAAAACTGCATACGCATATTAACATTGAATATGGAGTCATTTCAGTAAAAGCTTGCAGTTTGTTCCTGTTTATCCAAAGCTGTGAAGGCTGTGCATCCCTTGTAGAAGAAGATTTGGACTGATTCACGCTTAGCTCTTATTCCATCCCATCTTTGGTTTTCTTCTTCAAGATGCATGCCATAAAATATCTCAATATATTTGTTTAATTTGATTTTTCGAATCAAATTGGACAAATTTTAATCATCAATTATTTTCAATTTGTATCGCATGTAATTACAAATAAATAAAATCATGAAAGCTCTAAACAAGATAAATCTAATGAAATCATTTTTATACTAATATAAATTATACTTCCTCCGTCCCCAAATGAACTTCCTCTTTCGTTTTTTCTTTGTCCCCAAATAAACTTCTCTTTTCCTTTAAAAACCTCTTTTACCCTTTACTTTTTCATACCCTACATATCACATCATACCTTTTTATTAATAATCTACATATCACATCTTACTTTTACACATCACATCTAGGATATTTTTGAAAAGTCAACATAAAAATATCCATCCCTTAAATCCTCAAAAGGTCAAAAAGGAAAGTTTATTTGGGGATGGAGGAAATAGCTTTTATTTAATTAATGTCTAAAGTTTATTCAATTTAATTCTAAAAATCAAACTAGACAAATACAATATGATAAGGAAAACTTGCTTCATATAGAATTAAAAGGTAGTACGTTTTCAGGCCTAAAAAAATATATCTGGGTCGATAGGACTCCTTGGCCAACCCTTGAATTGGCTATGCATATACTATATTATAGAGTAATAAAGTTAATAGTATTAAAAATAATTTCAAATACTCAACTATCCCGCCACCCTTCATAAAATTTGAAGGTTATATATACTCTTTACATCCCAAAGTTAAAAGTTAAAACCTTTCTCAATTTGAATCTTAATGAATTTAAACAAGGAATATTTTTATTCTGACTTTCCAAAAAAACCATTGATATAATTGGTAAGAGTAGAACGTAATGAATAAATCTTTAGTAAATGAACATGATATAGAGGGTGTTTGGCAGTGCGCTGCTTTTAATAATTTAACTTCTGCTTTGAGTGGAAGTGATTTTACTCTGTTTGGCATGTCAGTTTCTGCTTTTCACCACCACTATTTTGTATATAGAACACCGTTTCGGAGAAGCAGGTATAAGGTGCTTTTGTTTTCAACTTTTGTGGAAATCACTTTATCCACAAGTTAATCACTCCCAAACACCCTCATATACTCCCTCCGTTTGCAAAAAGACTTCCCATTTTGATTTGGGGCAAAAACAAGGAAGTGTTAAATTATAGTTGATTTCCAATTTTGCCCCGTGATGGATAAAAGTAAGATGTGATGGATAGATTATTAGAGAAAAAGTATGATGTGATAGGTAGGGTATGAAAAACTAAGGGTAAAGTGGTTTTTTAATAGAAAAGAGAAGTGTTTTGTTGGAAGTGGAAAAAAGAAAAGAGGAAGTGTTTTTAAGAACGGAGGGAATAATAGATAGAGTAAGGACAAAGGTGGTTTTAATAAAAAGTGGCATGGGTGGCTCACAAGGTGTGTAAGCTAGGCACCCGCACAAGGCCCCCAAACTTTTAAGGCTCAATATCAATATATGTTCATTATTTTAATTACTTAATATTTTTAAAGTAATATAAATTTATATTTTAATATTCAAATTACTATAAACTAGTTATTAAAAATAAAATTCATCACTAATTTTAAAGTACTAAGTATTTTGTAAAAGATAAAATAAGGTCCAACACGTGCCAATCTCATATTTTCACATATTTGGGCCGGCCCTGAAAAGTAGAAAAGTTTTTTGAGATGAGTAAAAAGGAGAGAGGAAAGATTTTAAGAGACAACGAGAGTATATTTAATATTGGAAGAGTTGTGCTATTGTGGTCCTAAAATCCATGTGTCACATGAAGATCTTATCACGTATTTTTCTCGTATCTTATCACGAAATTTTCTAATTTTGAAATGGTTGTTCATCAAAAAAGCTTTTAAACATCTCCACGTACTCCCCGAACAGGGTAACATCCAACTTCAAGCTGTTTGCCAAATAATAAAAGAGCTTTCGTTAACCATGATTTGTGCAGTATATGTGATTTTTTTCTCTAAAAGTAGATGAATATTATAGTACCCTTCTGCTTCGAGTGTGATAACAATTATTTTTATTCTTTTAGACTCTTTCACTATTTCTTTTTCATTTCCAACCGCAGCAAGCATCCCCATAGTATCTGAGTTATCACAATGAAACTCAAAATTATAAAATATAATAACAGGCCAATCAATCTGCGTAACATCATATACATCATATATTACGGGAAAGCAAGCAATCTCACCAACTAAGTATGGATAGTTTGAATCAGCTTGAAGTATATCAGGAAAAACAACCAACTTAATTCTATACAGTGGTATTTTCTCCATACTACATGTAGTGACAGTTGTCATTGGTTGGAAGTTTAGACGAAACTCATGCCTTGATGTGCGATAATTACCACTATTGTTGCCTACACCAAAATAAGCAAACACATACGTTGAACCTTCATTTATGACACTCTCAAAAGTTCCTACCAAACTTTTTCGGACAGTGGCGTGAATTGTAGTCCCCTATATAATAAAAAATAAAAATCATTAGTAATCACATTAAAATGCTTAATTATTGAAGATGCTTCATTATTTTATAGCCAAAACAGCATTACAACTTGCAAAAAATGCCCTCTGGTTCAATATGCTAACTTTCCTGTTAAAAATGCCAACTGGTTCAAATTGTGCTTCAATATGTCAAGTTTTCTGTTAAAAATGAACTCTATTTTCATAATTCATTTTCACCCATAATGATGCCCATTTGGAAACTGCCCTCTAAAAATGTATTAAAAGAGTGCCTAAGAGTTTCCCCTCTCTCTCTCTCATCCAAAAAATTTGAACAAAAAGCAAAGTATTTTTTTCATCTCCCAAAATCAAGTCATAAACAAAGCAATAGCACTACACCAGACTACACATACTAACATACATGCTGCAGACATTGAATACAAAGCAAAGCACAAATAAGCTAAAGGAAAAAATTTGTGTTTAAGAACATAACAGTAAGTTTATTCCACACATGAGTGTAGGTGACATCTCTATGCATATCAGCAAAACAGGATTTCTTTTTAATATTTTCAATGAATATATACCTTTTTTAATAATATTAAAATTTTGGTTAAATAAAGACACTTATCATGAGTTCAATATATAGACAAAAACATTAGTTGAAGTAAAGCTTGAAATTTAAAAAAACTTGGAACAAAGGCTAAACTTGTAAAAATATTTAAGATATGATATATATACTTACGTGTTCGTCGAGGAATACCATCTTTATTGAGTTTATTGCTTTGTTATCATTGAAGGAAGGCAACGTATACAACCGTATCACACGAACACAAATCCTCCAACACTCACTTGTTGGATTGATTTTTGATAAAGGGTGAATGGGCTTGAGAGACATGACGATTTAGCAAACAAATTACTTTTAGTTTTCTTTCCAAGGCAAAATTTTTGAATGAAGAAGAACCCAATTGAAATGAACTTAGGTTTACGTGATATATATACTTAAAGAACTAAGAAATCTCCTAAATTTGGTACCTAAATCATAATCGTGAATAGGACTTTCCAAGGCAAAATTTGTGAATCGGACTTACCAAATTTTGAAGGCATAATGTCGCGATTGATTTCTCACATACGGGAATCCCAATCTCCAGCGGATTTTGGAATCATACACCGAATCTTCAGCCAGCGAACATAGGGAAAGGAGTTTTTTGATTTCGAAACTATTCAGCAATCATCTCAGCAGATCTTCCGCTAGGTAACGTCGAAGGAATTTATGAAATTGAAGGGCAGTGATGATTCGAAATTCAGCAGCCATCTCGGCAGATCTTCTGCCTGCGAACGTCAAAGGAAATTACGGAATTGAATGCAGCGATGACCAGAAATTATCGCTTCGGCGATACCTTCAAAATTTGCGGTCAATTATCCCTAGTGCGAAGGCAGTAGCAAATTTCCTCAAGTTTACTCTTATTACGTGGCCTATGACTTGTCCATTTTTTTGCCAAATAAGCGTGTCATATGTCGCATTCTCGTGCATCGGAGTCTCTTTTATTATAATAAAGGATATGATGATTTGATTTAAAATTCCAATTGTTAAAAAAATTAGAACAATGTGATCATATAAATCGGCAAGGTTCCCATGACATTGCCGGACAATGTCTTGGGAACCTTGCCGTTATATAAATATATAACCAGCTTGTTCAAATGGTAAAATAGAATAAAAAATTTTGAATTAACGAATGTAGTCGTGCACGTATGCACATAATTATATGTCTATTGAAAGGATAGAATCGATTCGGATTTTATCGATTTCGGGTATAACCGATTTTGGATCTAATTCGGGTATGAATTCATTTACTTCAATTTCAGCTCGAATCATTTTGAGTATTCAGTTATAGATCGAATACTCCCTTTTCAATTCATTTCGGTTTTGGTATCGAATCAATCCGTTCAAATAAGCGTTTATGATTTTGTTTTGGGGAATCTACTCGTCTTTGGGTATTAATGTATTATAAATAGATCATGGAATGAAGCAGCTTCACAAATTAAATAAGTATCATCATAATATACATAACCAACTTAAGAAATCAATGGGGATTGGGTACGACAATGACGATTACCCATTTGAAGGCCATATAAGAAATCAGCCACCACCGATTATGGGCGACGATAATGGCTACGTATTGAAGAACCAAAGGGTGGTCCAATTCGTCCGCCCGGTCGTCACCCGCCATGTTTATGTCAACGGTAAACCCGTGAAGGAAGAACGAATTGTGGGCGACTATCAACTTCATAATTATGGTGGTAATAATAATAGTAATAATAGTTATACTAACAACGCCCTCAAGGAGAGTCTTGATAACCTTGGGATCATCAACGGCTTCCTCGGCCAAGTTCAGACGGAGGCAAGCATGTCGCCACGTGACGGTGCCGCCGCTTTTCCCGCTCGCCGCCCCGCAGCGGCGGTGGAGAGTAAGCCTAATTGGGGTAGCAGGGCTGCTTGGGTAGCCGCCCCCGCCGATGACTCTTTCTCCAGTTACACAGAGTATCCGCCCGATCAGGTCAGTCCTCAGATTTGATTTAAGCTAATAATGACTCACGGGTGCTCCGGTCTCCCGTTCCTAAAATTGATGGTTTCTACCTCCCTAACCCCCGATAAACCTTCATCCAGCCCCGACCTGAACACACCCCCCACCCCCTTCAATTGCACCTCACAAGTTGATTTTGGCTTTGGAGTCAAATTTTGACTATCAACTTGTTGGGTGTAATTGAAGGGGGTGGGGCGGTGTGTTCTGGTCGGGGCCGGGTGGGGGGTTTACCGGGGGGTTAGGAGCGTAGGAATCGTCAATTTTACGAACGGAACACCGGAGCGCCCCCAGGTCATCCCATGATTTTGAGGTCCAATGTCACTTGAACCTTCTCCAACTTAAAATAGTTTTGATGTATTTATGAATAATCCATACTTTACTGAAATTTATGAACTTTGAGTCGCCGCGAAGTTACTAAAGGTGAGTTAACGGAAACGGCCTGTTTTGCGTAAAAAAAGTAAAAAAAATGATTTTTTATGTGAGAAGGTTTACAAAAATGATATGTACCCAAGGTGCACAAAAGAAGCACTCATAATCCTAGTTTTATCCTTTCTTTCAACAATAAAGTAATGCATCAATACTCTCTCATGCGTAAAATTTTAGAGCACTCCACTCGTTATATTTTTATTTTGTTTCTTTTCAATTTTAGTTTAGTTTTTTATTAATTACCTTATTTATTTTATTAATTTTGTATAGTTTTGGTTATTTTTCTCATTTTTTATATTTTTATATGTATATTTTATTTTTTATAAGATAAGAATAATATTTAAAAAATGAAAAAGAAATAGATAGAGAAAAATATTTTAAAACTTTAAATAAAAATTTCAAAAAAAAAACTAAAATTCACCAAAAAATAATTCAGACTTTCATTTTGGTGTGCAAAACAAGCTGTTCCGTTAACTCACCGTTAACAAATTAATAGTAGCCCAAAATGCCCAAATTTTAGTAAAGTTGATATTATTATATAGGAAATATTATCCAAAATAATCCCAACTTTACTCGATCTTTCAAAAATAATCTCACCTTTCACTGTGATGCATAATAATCCCAACTTTACTGAAATTTGCCAGTTTTGGGTCGCCGTTAAGTTTCTAACCGAGGGATAACGGAAATGCCCGTTTTAGGCAACAAAATGAAAGTTGGGATTATTTTTGATGAATTTTTGTTTCTTAATTTTTTTGAAATTTTTATTTAAATTTTTTGAATTACTTTCAACCTCCATTTATTTTTATTTTTTAAAGATTATTCTTACCTTAAAAAAATAGATATAAAAATAATGAAAATGAGAAAAAAACTAAAACAATACTAAATTAATCAAATAAATAATGTAATCAATAGAAATTAAACAGAAACTGGTAAGAAATAAAATAAGTATATATGGAGTCGTGGGTTTAACATTTTACACACTATACGGAGTTAATTTAATACTTATTTTTTAAAAGAACAAGTCATCCGGTAAAGTTGGAATTATTGTAGATAATTTTTTCTAAAAAATAAGAAGTGATATGTTAATACTTTGTATAATGCCTAAAATATTAAAACCCACCCGTATATTTTTATTTTACTTTTTCCAATTTCAAGTTAGTTTCCATTGATTACCTTATTTATTTTATTATTTTTGTATCATTTTAGTTACATTTCTCATTTTTTTCATTTTTTATATCTATTGTTTTTATTTTTTAAACTAAGACTAATGTTTAAAAAAGGAAAAAGAAATGATGATGGAGGTAGAAAGTAATTTAAAAAATTTAAATGAAAATTTCAAAAAAATTAAAAAAAATTCATCAGAAATAATCCCAACTATCATTTTGTTGCCTAAAACGGTCATTTCCGTTATCCCTCCATTAGAAACTTAACGGCGACCCAAAACTGGCAAATTTCAGCAAAGTTGGGATTATTATGCATCACTGTGAAAGGTGGGATTATTTTTGAAAGACCGGGTAAAGTTAGGATTATTTTGAGTAATTTTTCCTATTATATATTACAGTGAAAGGTGAGATTATTTTTGAAAAACGGAGTAAAGTAAGAATTATTTTGGATAATTTTTTCCAATATTTATTTATGTATAATTAAATGAGTTTTTCTTTCATACTTTCAAATTAGAAGGGGCATATATGCTCTTCCACTAAATTAAAAATATCACTCTTGCACATGATAACACCATGATTTAATAAAATAAAAGCAAATTTTTCTGTGGACCTAAGGTCCATACTTATTTTATGGATTTTAGTATATTTATAGTATAAAAAAGTAGGTATTTGCAAAAAAATCCACATATAAGCCATTGAAAATGAGTTAACGCCATAAGCATCACTCTAAAAAAAGTTAGATGTAGAGAATGAAAATGAGTTAACGCCATACTTTAATTTTATTGATTTTTTATTTAGTACGGAGTAGTTTTTATTAATTAATTTATTTTTAATAGTATTATCATTAGAAAATGCACCCTCTATCCCTTAAAACCTTTCGCATTTCCTTTTTCATCCATCTACAAAAACTTTTTTTCCATTAATATTAAAAAAACATTTTACACCTACTAATTCTTAAATCACCTACCACATTACATCTATATATCCACTATTAATATACCTATCAAATCATTTTTTTTACTCATCACAACCAAAGACATTTTTGAAAACTCATCAAAACCATATATACTTCCCTTAAATTTTTTAAAAATCAAAATCTCTTATATTTTTAGGGATGGAGGGAGTAGCAAATGAGTTAACCCCAAAATAGTCTGATTATTAAAGTCAATTTCTTAAACAAATATAGTAGACTCAAGTCATTTATTTTTATTTAATTTTTTCATTTATTTTCCTTGGCCTAAAACATACTCCTTCTGCTCTTAAAAAAATTGCCACCGTTAGATTTTTTTTAGTCAAATTGTAATACCATTTAACCACGAATTAAATATGATTTAAAATAAGTAAATATTATAAAAACATGATACTTAAAAATTAAGTTTTATAATAAACCCAATTTTATTATATTTACATTATAACTAAATCTATAATTCATAGTCAAAAGGTGACACAGTTTGACCAAAAAAATCAAACTGTGACAACGTTTTATAGATGGGGGAGTAAATAAAATTTCAAAAATAACAAATAGTTACAAAACTAAATAAATAAAAATAAAAATATAAAGATATATAAAATTTTGAGAATGGGATTGGAAAATCAGCGGATCTATATGATCTCTTCAATTGTTCAAGAAATCTGGACTCAAGTAATGAATAGGAAATAAGGATGATGTCTCTCTCATGAAAATGAATTTCTTCGTAAGTAAATGAAAATTATTTTTCTATTTTTGTGAGAAAATATTTAAAACAAACTTTTTCTTACCACTTATATTATCTAATGTACGAAATTAAAATTTTCTAGTGAAATATTTTTTCCACCAAACAAACAGACCTTATGATTATATCCAAGTGTAATTACTTTAGTGAGAGGGAGATCTATGCCTCTTCAAATGTTAAGGCATGGAAGAAAAGCCCTTAATGAAATATTTTATCCATCTCTCTCTTTGTCACTTATATTTTTACACAAATATCATGCTTCATTCACTTAGCTTTTTGTACATTTATGAAGGGATGAACAAAATTCACAACAATTCGAAGGTATTACACTTGTCAAAAAGGAATGTACAAAACACTAAGAAGACTGAAAAAGAAAAACGGAACAAAGAGATTGTGAAAGAGAGTGTGGGACAGAGGGAGCATTATCCTTTTGTCCCGAATTATTTGTCATAGTTTGAATTTTAATTTGTACTCCTTACCTTCCATTTGAATTTTTTCAGTCCGCGTTATGATGTTTGACTAATTTATTTTGAATTTATTTATTTAATTATAAGTGTAAATTTAAAAAATAAAAACTATACTCCGTATATATTAGAAAACTAGATGTGAAATGATTATTTTATGTTATCAAATGAGTAATAAAATTAGGGAATTAATGTATATAATGTTTGAATATATGAATAGTGCACATAAAGATTGAAGTGAGACGGAGGAAATATCAAATTTTTAAAACTTATTTTATTTAAAGATTGACATAGAAATTAAAAATAAAACTTACACTTTTAGAAACTATGTCAAAAGTGTTAGAAAATAAGAGGTGATAAAAACATTTTATTTTATCAAATAATCAATCACCACTCTCCCACTGGTTATGGTGAACGTTACGTTCTGAGGTGAGACACCCTAAAAATGTAAATGATACTTCTTGCATGCCACTAATTTTTTTACACTTTCTCAAATAGTTTTCTCTTACATTTCATTTTTTGCACGGGGTAGGGGGAGTTTAGGGGCAGGAATTGTTAATTTTACGAACAAAGCACTCCAAGCGCTCTAATTAAATTGGTATAACAATTAACTGGCGTCATTTTAGACGTCTTTTAATACAAAATGCAGTACTTGTCAAATATTTTCAAGAAGCTGGTGTTGTAGACTGCAAATAGAAATTGGAAAATAATTGATATATATTTAGCTATTTGTTACTTGTTGAAACAGGCCCGGAATCTCTACCGTCCTGACTCAGAATCAAACTGGGGTGCTAGGCCTAATTGGCCGAATAGCCGCCGGGCTTCCCCATCCCCGCCCGGATCACCCGTTTATTCAAAACAGGGTACCACAAACTCAGATAGTACATTGCCTAATAGGGTTTTGCAAGATAATCCCCCCACTCGTTATGGTGATCATTTCGAGCCTAGTCGTCGTACGCATCATTTCGTAGGGGAAGAGCAAAGACAACAAGATAGCCCACCACTCAAACAGCTTGAGAGATTGGACATCAAAGACAACAATAGCCAAGGATCAAGCCCAAATCAGAACACAAGGTCTGGTTCCACTGAAGTTGTGAAGAATGAAAATATTGAGGTGATTCACTCTAAAAGTGATACTTCTTGCCTGCCACTATTTTTTTTACACTTGTTCAAATAGTTTTCTCTTACTTTTCTTACATATTTCTGTAGGGGGGGGCTGGGGTGGGGCTAGGATGGGGGTTTAAGAGGGGTTAGGGGTAGGAACCGTCAATTTTACAAAGAGTGCACGTAAATGCTTCTATTGAACTAGTGTCGCGATTGGTTTCGCAATTGACGACTAGTTCCATTTAGACGCCCTCTAATACAAAATGTAGTCATTGTCAAACATTTTTTAGAACTGGAACTAGAGATTGTAAATATAAAATGCTAATAAACTCATATCAGCTCGTTATTGCTTGCCAAACAGGCCCAGAATCTCTGCCGTCTTGGCTCAGAATATAACAAGCCAAATTTGGGTGCTAGGCCTAATTGGCCAAATAGCCGCCGCGCTTCTCCACCCGGATCACCCATGCATTCAAGACAGGGTACCATAGACTCAGGTAGTACAAAGCCTAATTTCCAAGACAATTTCCCCACTCCTTATGGTGACCGTTTCGAGCCCAGCCGTCCTACGCATCATTTCAAAGGGGAAGAGCAAAGACAACAAGATAACCCACCAATCAAACAGCTTGAGAGATTGGGCATTAAAGACAACAACAGTCAAGGAACAAGCCGAAATCAGAATATGATGGATGCCTACATGGCAAGGTCTGGTTCCACTGAAGTTGTGAAGAATGGCAATGGTGATTCCCTTGTTAAGGACAACACCCTCCAGGTCAAGGACCCCAACAGGAAAAGCCAAGATCAAGACAAGTCTGCTAGCTACGACAACGAAGGGAAGAAGATGGAAAAAGGCCAGAATGACGTCAAAAACCAGATGGGTAATCTTGATGATGGCTCCTACTCCACGAAGGAAAGCTCGAGTGATATGGCGACCAAGCCAAGATTCTTTGGAGGATGGTACAAACCCTCAAGGGGAATGCAAGGTGGTGGTAGCTCTGGCACTACCACCACAAAGCACTGGAGCGAAATCACTCCGAATCCTCCAGTAGGACCGATAACCATACCTCCACTGGTTGAATCGCAGGAAGCGATGAGGCGATATGCGTATGTGAAGCCGACAATGGCAACCGGGTACTATGGAGCCATCACGAGTGAAGATGCTGTGAGAAAGTATGGTGGCTTCTTTGTCCCTCCAAGTTAACACATTTAGCTTACATAGTTTCTAAAGAAAAAAGAGATAGTAGTACTCCGATCCTTATGTGTATTAGCAGTAAATGTGATATGGAGTATATATAACTATAGAATAATGGTGGGTCATGATGATGTTAGACAAAATAAAAGTATGTGATATGATGCTATTATAAATGTGATATGCTACCCTAAAAAAATATGATATGTGATGTTATAATAAATGTGTTATACTAGCTACTACTTACTAATATAGTGTAAGTTTCTATGTTGTTTTTACAGTTTTCGACCAAATCTTTATTATTATTTTTTCACTGAAAATTTTGACATATTTCTAAATGCAGAGGGGTTATTTTGTCAACGGATTACAATGTGGTATTATGACACAAGGTCTCTATTCAAAAATTTGATTCATCTTACTCATAAGTTCTCGGCAAATCCCATAAGCTCGGACCCCAACGACCCCGAAACACCTCTAATTCTATTCCCAAAATTTGCTCTTTGGAGTCAAATTGTGGAGTCCAAATATAATTAAAATCTCACATTTATTGCACCGTTAGATAACATTACAAACAACAAATACATGAAAATTCATGCCTAAATTCATCCATACTACAATATTGTATTACAAAAAAATGTTTTGATTCAAAGCGAGATAATTTTGCCCCAAATCCAAAAATATAAGCTATTAGACACCGTTAAATACTTCGTATAAAATGAGTGGATGAGAGGAGTATATTGTAGTGTACCTGAAAACATTTTTAATGTAAGTTCAAACTCTGTATACTATCTTAACTACATAAAAATGAAAAACGTGACGCCGTCCCAATAAACATGGACAGTCCCAACTCAATATTTTCTCTCTTTTTTTTGGTTTCACTCGAAATGAAATCCGAGACTCGTCATTGGAGATGTTCTAAAACGTGGGTTCTTAAGTAGTCACTAGGAATATGTACAAGAGTTTTTAAACTTAATGGCCGCATTCATCTTTTTTGGCTCCAAAACAACAGAGCATTGGACCCTTTTATAGAACTTGGGCTTCACCAGCCTGCCCAGCACGTAAGCCCTTGCTCTCAACTTGAATCTCAGGGTCAATGGGACCCTCGCCGTCGGCTTTCCGTCTTTGCTCGTCAAGTCGGCTCCCCCACCGTATAACGGAATCCCACTTCCTCTTAACGTCACCGCTAGTGTCCTCTCACTCTTTCTTGACTGATAAAACTTGTTAATCTGGCAAAACAACATTAACAAAAGCTTTCTTTCTCAGGAAAATTACTCAAAGATGGAGAGACTAGATTGGAGATGTCTATTAATCTACCTAAACTCTCTATTTTTTAAAAAAAAAATTGCAAGTGCATTCAAATGAACAAACATAAAAAAAATTATAGTAAAAATGAATTACTCCGTATTAAAATACAAGAAATGCCTATCAATCTGAGTTTAAGAGAATTTAAAAATAATCAAATAAAGTACAATTCACATATAATAAAAACTTGAAGTGAATTCTAAAATAAACATATCATTACTTACTAAAAATGGTTCATATATTTATAATATATTATGCCGTATATATATATATATATATATATATATATATATATATATATATATATATATATATATATATATATATATATATATATTCGATTTGAATAATTAAATCATAAAACTCCCGAAACCCAAACTGATTGTTCGGTTTATGTTCGGTTCAATTTTTTAATACTTCTTTGGTTTATAATTTCCAATTTGATTTTCACAATTTTTTCGTAAAATTTTGGTTTTGTTTGGATACTTGCTCACCTTATATCCCACCTGTTAAATATGTTAATATATTTAATATATTACTGTTGTATATTTGATAGTTACCTTTTGTATAAAAGAAATTACCCTACATAACACTCTAACTCACCCTAAATTACGCATCTAGCACTACTCATTGTTTTTAACAAATTTAGCACTTTTTTGGAGTCAATCCTTTCCTATTATGCCCTTTAACCTTTTTTCTTTTTCTCATTAAAAATTACGGCACTCCCTAGGCCGCACATACTCTTCTTGCGCTCAGCCGCACGTTCTCCTTCAGTCGCCCGCCATCATGCGTCCTCAGGCCTTCTCCCACGATTCCTGGGCTGATCAGCAGCGGCAATCATCAGGTTATCTCCGCTTCCTTCATCGATGTGGCTAATCATTTTTTCTTCTCCTTCAATTTTTAATTTTCATTCCTTCATCCCTTTATTTGGATTTCCATGTATTTTTAGTTTTAATTATTGTGTTTTATTCGTACTGAAGATTAGGTGGTGTGAATAAATCAATTTTGAAATACCTAGTATTTGTTCCTTTTGAAAAATTAGGCCTTTTGAAAGGCATTGTGATTTTGGCAGTGTTAAGATTATGTGTTATGGTGTGGGCAGTATGAAGATTAAATGCCTAAATGTTGTCCTTCATTTTTAGTTTTATNCATCGCATATTAGGTTATACGTCTATTCTTTGAGTTCATTCCTTTATTTAATTTAATTGAATATTTTCTCTTTTATTATTTAAAAGGAGCATCACAGATGGGTCCAAATTTGACGATATTGCTACGTGTTGTCGTGTTGATGGGACATGGGATACTCATGGAAGCTTTATATTGTGGCAGTGTAGATATATCGTGACAGTGTAGATATATTGTGGCAGTGTATATATTGTGGCATTATATTTCAGACATTGAATTTTTGGCGGTGCATATATTATGGCAGTGTATTTCAGACATTGAACTTTTGGAAGTACATATTGTGGCTAACATTATGGCAATGTATATATTGTGGCAGTGTATATATTGTGGCAGTATATTATATTATATCTATTTTCTTAATCTCTGAGTAGTTTTTCTCTCATTTTACAACACGTTATCAGCATGAATTTGCTCAAAAATCTCAGAATCCTTGTTCTTCTCAGAAGGTATATTTATTTAATTTTGTTCATAAACAAACTAAAATATTTTTTTAGAAACTATGAGAAGTATGCTCTGTGATTGCCCGAATTGTGGCAGTGTATATATTGTGGCATTGTATTTTAGACATTGAATTTTTGGCAGTGCATATATTGTGGCAGTATATTTCAGACATTGAATTTTTGGAAGTACATATTGTGGCTAACATTATGGCATTGTATATATTGTGGCAGTGTAGATATATTGTGGCAGTGTATATATAATAAAAAAAAATTTAATTAAGGGTAATATTGGGAATTCATCTCAAAAACTTATAGCACTGCTATTTTGCGTATTATAAGCCTATTAAAGTGCTATATTCGTATTTCTCCCTTTGTATAAGTGTGCATTTATACACTCCTCCCTTCTTAAGGAGTAGACATCTAGTATATGCACACATGTAACTCTTATTGTTATGATTGTTAAATAATAAAACTCTTCATCGTATGAGAGACATCTATTTGGTAGTTACCTTTTGCATAAGTTTACATTTATACGCTCTTACCATCTTTTGGCACTAACAGTTTGGCCACTACACCCTAGCACTGCAGTTCTCTTTGGAGTTCCTAGTCTTTTACCATTACTTAATAAATGCAATCTGGATAATTTATGTCATGCGTGTCAACTGGGGAAACATGTTCGTCTTCCCTTTTATCAGTCTAGTCATCTCTCTTTTTTTCTTTCTCAAGTTTTACACACGAATTTAGGACTATAATCCCACATTCCTAGTGTGACTAGTTATAAACATTATATGTTACTTCTTAATGATTATTCTCACTACCTTTGGGTTTTTCCTTTACCCAAAAAATTTGATGTTTATTCTCATTTAACTTCATTTATCGCTTATGTTACAAATCATTTTAACACAACCATTAAACCTGTTCAACGTGACAATGACATTGAATATCAAAATCCCCCCTTGCAATCTATTTTCTCTTCTCTTGGCATTGTGTTTTGTTCCTCCTGTCCTCACACCAGCCAACAGAATGGCCAAGCTAAGTGCACCATGCGTAGTATTAACAACACTTTTCAGACCCCACTCTTTCAGGCCCACCTCCCACCAACTTTCTGGGTCATGGTTCAGATGACCGCTGACCTCTTCAACCAACAACCAAACACCCCACGAGGTCCTCCCCATCATTACCCCCACCTACGTGTATTTGGTTGCCTTTGCTACTCTAATATTGTAGCCACTACCACCCACAAATTAGCATCTCGCTCAGCTCGGTGCATTTTTCTCGGTTTTCCATCCGGTGCCTTGCACTCCAAACTCATAAAATAATCATCTCCCGACACATAGTCTTTGACAAAATTATTTTTAACTTTGCCCGTTCTGTGCTCTCAAACGACTACGCCTTTCTAGATTCCGCAGAGGACGATCACCTCCCTCCCAACATTCCCTCCCACTCTCCTAACCACCACACACGGCCCAAACTCCACTTGTGGCCCAAATACCTCCCTCAGCCCAGCATCCTTCCACGACACAAACATTCCCTCCTCATTGGCCCGAATCTACGACCCACTCTCACCTCACGACCCACACTCTAATCCCCCACCCATAATTTCCATCCGCACCTCCATAGCCCCAAACAACCTCTAATAATCACCCTATGGTCACTCAATCCAAAGGCAGCATATCCTGCCTCAAACACATCCTAAGTCTCAGCACCAGTAGTCTTATCACCCCATACCCCCACTTTCTGTAGTGTACTTAAGGACCCTAATTGGCATGCTACTATGTGTGATGAATTTAATGCCCTGATCAAGAATGATACATGGAAATTAGTACAACCTCCCCTACCATAATAATATCACTGCTAAATGACTTTTCTGTCACAAATTTGGTCGCCCTTCTGGTGAATTGACTAGGTACAAAACCTGATGGGTAGTTTGTCGATTCAACCAGCGGTTTGTTATTGATTATGATGAAACATTTAGTCCGGTTAGCAAACCAGCAACGGTTCGAATTGTGCTCAGCATTGCCCTGTCTCGGGGGTGGCCTATCCACCAGCTTGATGTCAAAAATACGTTCTTTCATGGCACTTTCCAAGAAATAGTTTATGCCAGTCAACCGTCTGGGTTTCAGGATCCATCCAAGCCTCATTATGTCTGTAAGATCACGAAGGCTCTTTACGGTTTGAAGTCGGCCCCTTTCTTGTGGTTCCATAGATTTGCTGGCTTCATATAGACCGTGGGTTTTAGAGGCTACAAATCTGACATGTCCCTCTTCACATACACTCGTGGGAAAGATGTGGCCTATCTGCTTTTATATGTTGACGATATTCTTCTTACAAAATCCTGCATTGCCCTTCTTCATCAGATTACTCAGTAGCTCAAAGGAGAATTTATCATAAATGACACGGGAGCCTTAATATTTTTCTTGGTATTAATGTGCAACAAAATACTACTTGTTTATTCCTTCATCAAACACAGTTCACACATTATAATCTCGAGCGAGTTGGGATACTCAGCTACAAACCTATCTGTACGCCTGATTGCAGATCTCACCCTCTACGGTCTTGTTGGGATAAACGCACGCGGAAACAACACACAATCACAAATCAACTGCAGAAAAATAAACGACACAGGATTTAACGTGGTTCGGCCGCCAACTGCAACCTACGTCCACACGGGGCAACTAGGAGGATTTTATTATTTTTGTTGCACTTGATTTGTGATTGTGTGTTGTTTCCGCGTGCGTTTATCCCAACAAGTGGTATCGGAGCAGTGGTTCATTGTACATGGTCGGGTTACTGTCTGAGGGAGTAACCGTCCCAGTTCAGAAGAGAAACAAAGTCCGGTTCACAGAGTCTCGTGGGCAGAAGAAGGTTTTCTATGCAAGAGAGAAACCTAGAGCCACTGGTCAGACTCAGGATGAACGAGCGTGGAAAGGTTCAAGGGGGCCAGTCAGAGGTATTTGTGGCAATGGGAGCTCAAGAGGCGCTTCAGCCAAGGTTCCTATGAGACATTGGGTCCGGAGAACCAGTATTCCAGCTGTTGAAACATCTCCAGAAAATTTCTTGCTCAGTATGGAGATTGTTTGTTCTCAGGATGTTCCAGGATCCGGCAGTGCGTGTGTGCAGTGGGAGCCGGTAGGGATCGAGGATGAGTCAAAGGCAGTTCAAGCCATGACTGATGGGTTGAAACTCAGGAGAGTTTCAACAGAGTCTTCTCGATGATCAAGAAGGCTGGTGGCACTAGAGGTGGTGGAATTTTGAGTTCCGTTATCAGATTACAGAAGTACATGTGCACAGTTGAAGCGCAGGTGAACATTGTTCCATGGCTTCAAGTGGGAGATTGTTGAGTGTGAAGCCAGGAAGCTAGGTGGAAGCTAACAGGAAATTGGCAGGAAGCTACCTAGAAGCTTACGGCTTAATCATTGTCTCCCTAACTAATCTCTATTTAAGAGATGCTAATGTGCTTGTAATTGTGTGCAACAAAAATAATAAAATCCTCCTAGTTGCCCCGTGTGGACGTAGGTTGCAGTTGGCGGCCGAACCACGTTAAATCCTGTGTCGTTTATTTTTCTGCAGTTGATTTGTGATTGTGTGTTGTTTCCGCGTGCGTTTATCCCAACAGGTCCATTGTTGGTGATCTACAGTATCTCACTTTGACTTGGCTAGATATCACTTATGCATGTTGTTCAACAACTTTGTCTCCACTTCCATGCACCATGCGACACACATCTCACTTCCATGAAGAGAGTCTTACGGTATCTGAGTGGCACCACTACACACGATATCCAATTATTCCGTTTGAACACTGATTACTTATAAGCCTATTATGATGTCGACTGACCAGTTGCCCTGACACTAAAAAGTCCACTTTCGGTATTACATTTTTCTAGGAGATAACCTCTTCCCTTGGTCCAGGCAACTACATCACACTCCAGTGATGAAGCCGAATACAGAGCGGTTGAAAATGATGTCATTGAGATTTGTTGGATTCAGAATCTCCTCCTTGAGCTACATCTACCCCTACGACGCATCATCCTCGTGTTTTGTGATAATACTAGTGTTACCTATTTATCTTCCAACCCTGTCTACCACTAGGGCACCAAGCATGTCAAAGTTGACATTCACTTTGTGTGAGACAAAGTTGCTCTTGGGTTGGTATACCCATAACATTTTTGGGAGTAATATATATAGACGCATGTAACCCTTAGTTTATACTCCCTCCGTCCATAAATTATCTTCACATTCAGCATTCACAGGGTCAAATTTTATTCATTTTGTTAGTTTATTTTCGTTATCCATTTGATAAAATAATATAATCATATCACCTCTAGTTTTATAGATATTTTGATATAGTTTTTAATATGTAATTTTAATTTTTTAATTCCATACCATTAATTTAAAAATAACTTCAATCAAATATTGTAACGTGCAACAAGAAGATAATTATTGGACGTGCCAAATATTCCCTCCGTCTCTAAATAGATTACAATTTTTTCTCTCTCCTCTCGATACCTTTTGTTTGTTTACGCGATTTCATTAAGTATTTGATAAAATAAAATATCTTTGTCACCTCTTGTTTTGTAGAACTTTTGACGTAGTTTTTTAATATGTAATTTTTATATCTTATAAATATACCAATTTATAAATAAAATAATTTCAAAAAGTAGAAAATTTTACTCCGTAACCCGTAATTTGAAATTAAACTGGAGAGGGAGGGAGTAATAAAACTCTTCACCACAAAACAAAGTAACGAGTTTGTTTCAAAAGGGATTTTTCAAGGGTGAAGGGCAAAGCCACCGTACCGTTCCTGTTGCGAGAGTGAGGTCGGAAAATGAGAGATCCAACGGCGTTGACGTTACGTGCACCCCGAAAAAGGTGCCCTCGTTACGGAACACGAGCTTGACCGTTGAGTTGACGGTCACCATCTCCGTCGCGACGCCGGAGTGATCCATTCCGGCTTGAACCGCAAATTGATTGAACGAAATACTCTGCAAATTAGATTTCACAGGTTTCTGAGATTTCTTCAATTATATACGAAGATCAAAACAATTGAATTCAATTCACGACGACGAATAATCTCTGCTCGCCTTCATCGTAATTACGGGCTCCTGATTGCGGCTCACGCCCCACAAGATCAAAGCGAAGAACCCGAAGAGGACGAAGAACCCGACTACGAATGCCGGGAAATAGCACCGGCGAGGGATTCCCGACCGGCGAACACCGTCACCGAGAAGTCCTTCTTCTTCGATGGCGTCGAACTCCTGCCACTGCTTCTCCGCCTTGCGGGCATCGCGGTGGTGGCGGCGGCTACTGTTGGTGGACTTCTGGGAGCCCGGCTTGAGGGAACCGGAGAACCGGGTGGAGGAGGAGGAGTCGCCCCGGGACTGGCGGCCGGGGGAGGCCATAGGGCTGAGAATGGGGGTGGAGTGGAAGGAGTTTGTGGTCTTTTCGCCGTCATGGGAGTCCCGCGACGGGCTCTGGACGTAGTAGACCGGCCGGTTCGGTGATGATGGCGCCAAGCTCGTTCCTTCGGAATCCGTCTTGGTGTGATGATGGTGATCGGTAGACATTTTTTTTTGCACAAATCTGCAGAGAGAAAGAAAAGAGAGAGAGAGATTGCAGAGTTGAAAGATTAGAAGCGATCTGAGCTCAATGTTTTGTGGTTTTTGGTGGGATGTGAATAATGATGATGAAAGCCTACAAAGTCCAACACGGGCCATGTTCCCACTCTTGTTTGTTCGTTTCTTTTTTATATTTTTATATTTTTATTTTCTAAATACAAGTATGTATAGTGATAATATCACATTGTATTTTAACATTTAACTATCTGTTTTTGTATTATATATTGACATAATTGATATTTTATTTGCATTGTAACTGTTTTTAGTTTGAAAACAAAAATATAGAACTTCTATTTTTAAACATTTTCTATATTTTACTTCAAGTTTAGTTTTTTTCGATTTTGTTAATAAAGACGAGAATAAAGATGTGAATGACTTGTCAAAAAAAAAGCTGTGAATGTTATAGTAAGCCTAAGGTCCGTACAATCTTTTATGAGATGAGGGTGGTAAATAAGGGGAAGGTTCCCATGACATTGGGAAGCAATGTCATGGAATGACCTAGGGGCGCTCCGGTGTCCCGTTTGTAAAATTGACGGTTCCTACCCCCCCTAACCCCCCCCAGTAAACCCCACCACCCTGCCCCGACCCGAACACACCTCCCCACCTCCTTCAATTGCACCCCACAAGTCGATTTTGACTTTGGAGTCAAATCTTAACGTTTTCTCTTGTCAGTACAATACATTAATATCAAATTATTCATTCAATTGGACTACAGCGATACTTTCATTTATCATTAATCGCTTCATAACAAGGTGTCAATTCTTTCAACAAGGTTGAGTTGTCTATAGGTTCTAACAAGTACGTTCTTTGAATTTTACCGAACAAATCATCAGTACATAGTAAAAAGTAGCGATTCTTGATCATCATTTTGTCCATCTTTCTTAACAGAGATGTGATAGTATCCTGAACCTAAGTCAGTCTTAGAGAACACAATGGATCCTATAAGCTATTCAAATAAGTCATCGATACAAGATAAAGGATAACAATTTTTTATTGTGACTTTGTTTAATTAACGGTAGTTGATACAGAGTCTCATCGATCAATCTTTATTCGTGTATAAACAGAAGCAGGTACTCTCTCAAGGAGGAAACACTTGGTAAGATTATTCCTTTTGAAGCAATCTTTACAATTGAGTTTTCAATCAACGATAGGTCGTTCAATATGAATATTGGTCTTTTCTAAGAACACGAGCAATAAAGAATTCAATTTCCTAGAATACCAGTAAATAATTCATCAGGGAACATGTCAGAGAAGTTACGTACTATGACTATGTCCTTCAATTTAGAGGTTTCTTTTCGCGTATCATACAAATTGTCTTAAGATGCTATTACGTGTTTATTCGAGATGAACTCGGTCGGTTTAGAAATCCGCTTTTCTTTCACATCTATAAGGTTACCATCATCGTTCTTCAGTTGAAAAATTCTTCATCACAAGTTATCAACAGCAACGACGTTTAGTTAGACAATTCATACTAAGAATAAGGTCAATTTTCTTGTATGGTATTTCAACGAGGTTTTGCAAGGAATTGTTGCTTAAAGAACGATTTTAATTCAAATGACATAATCGCATATTGTGCCGTAATAAGTTAGACATCAGAATGAGATACTTTAGATAACAGAGTTTATTGATTCTATACGTTCGTCTTTGAATTAGCGATCAGATCGTGTTGAGTCCACACGAAGATTTTCGACACCGAATTCATAGATGTTATTCGAAATATCAATATTAATTGTTTCTTCAGGATCCTCTCGTTCCCACGCATATAAATTTTCACTTTCGTCATTCGGGATGTAATAAACACATTGATATCAGATCAAAGAGTCATATCTTAGAGTTCTTCTAGATATCCTAAATAATCATCAGTAATTTGCAAATTGGTGTATCTTAGAATTCTCCTAGAATTATCAATTCTCATTATTTCATAATTACCAATATGTTCATTTTTACTCATAAATCATTCACAATTATCCTAATCAGAATAATCAACGAGGTTTAATCATAAATCATATAAATCAATAATAACTATCATAATATTCAATAACAGATAGCGGCCTAGCGTCGAGTGTTAACACCCTAGCTTACCGTCATGCATCAAACAAGATTTTATTTGTCCAAAATATCATTTTTAATTCAACAAATCATCTTTAAATTTATCATAATTAATTGGTACCAAAAATAGGATTTAATAGCTCCAAAAATAGCATTTTCAGACTTAAAAATGTTCGGAATGGTCGACCATTGGGTTCGAATGATCGACCGTACCATTCTGGAAAATTTTCTCGTTAGACAGTACCTAGAGACGGTACCTTGGTACCGTTTAATCGGTATGTGTCTACCGTGAAACACACAAGAGGATTGAAACTACTATTCATCATCTTCGGGCTTCGGCCCACTTTTCTCAACTCCATATTAGGTCACCAAACTTTAATTAAACTATATAGAAATATTCTCCAAGGTTCGTAGATCATTTTAGAGACATCAATTCGAAGTTTTAACAACAAATTCAAGGTTTATGATTCTTGGTTCTTCAACCAAGTCAAACACAAAACTTAACTAAATGACCGTTTATGAATGTAGAAACGATCTATACGAACATTCTAGTCATTATATATATCTACGGGCTTACCTCGAGCTTAAACGGAGGTTTAGGAAATTTTCTGGTGAAACTTTGGGTGATGATTACTCTCAAATTCGGTGACCTCTCACCAAATTGACAGCACCACAACATTCTTTACACTCTCAAGAACATAATAGAAGAAGAAATAAATAGAATGATGAAGAAATGAGAAGAGTTGGTTCTCCTTTTATTGGGAAGAAGAGGAGGTATATAAAAAAGGTTGCTGAGTCAAGCTTCCATTTAACGATCGGCATATCTCTTAGTGAAGGAGGAGGCGCCGTTACCTGATTGGGACCAATTTTGGTTCCAGTCGGGGTACACTTTTTTTGTCCAATTTTCTCCGAATTGAATTTCGTTCTTACGTTGCGATCGGATAGTCGATTTCTATTCAACGATATAATTTTTATATTTATTGGTAATACCTTTTCCGGCATCATATTTTTGGGTGTTTGACTTTGACAAAGTCAAAATTGATTTAGTTGACATTTATTCAGAAAGGCTCTCACATTTAATTCATATTAAGATTAATTTAAATAAATCATTTTAAAATTTCACATCATAAACAAAGACTTTGTGTGAGTCTGTACTTCGGTTCACAATTAAGATTACACATAAAGTCAACATATGAGTTCTTTTTCTTCATCTTTAATAAGAAAAATAAATGGAGAAATAATGAGTTGTTAATGTTAGATACACTAGATGGCTACCCTAGATATATTTGGTCATGTACTCACACCAGTATATCCATTATCTACAAATAACTCCGTAGAAGTGAGAAGTGATGTTTGAATTCTACCTGGATTCTATATGGGTTCTACAAATTGTTCAAACTCTACATGGATTCTACAAAAATTCAACCAAACTCTACATGAATTCTAAGAAAATCCAATAAAATTCTAATTGAATATGCCCTCCTTAGGCTCCGTTGATAGAATCCAAGTCATTGAATTTAAATGGGAGGTGCCAGTTCAAATTTTGTTGTTTGGTAGGGTAAAAAATGTGAATTTGAAATTAGTAGTGCAAAAATGTAATTAAAATTGGAAAATTAGATTTCATCAAATTTATTTCCATATAATTTTAATTAATATTTCTTCTATTTCATGTAAAAAAGGACCCTTAATTTGTTTCAAAATATTTTCCAGTTTTTTCCTAACATTTTTTTTAATTTTGTTCGACATGCAATTGAGAAAGTATATATTTCTTCCTTTTTTTCTCCGTATAAAAATGTCAAGATTGGAGTCGTGGACGGCCAAAGCCCCAAACAGTTGGACAGGGAGGTCAAAGTTGGGTTGGTGAGTGGTGGTAAGTGAGGAAATATTGACCTAAAATTAAGGTAGTCTCTCTACTTAAAAAAAGCAAGGTAGTCTGTCTACTTTTACCGTAAATATTCCTCTCGCAATTTTTTTTTTTCATTTCAAAGGAATTCATACTTCATTTTTCTAAAACAAATAAAAATATTGCTCTTAAAATTTATCTCTGATTTCAATTAATTTAAATTGTACTTTGTTATAGTCTTAGTACTCTATTTAAATTTCATGAAAATCAAATCATTTTTAGAAAACAAGAAGAAACACGTAACTAAGATAAAAACATTATCCATATACTAAAATATAACTCTCAATGTTTTTTATATTTTACCAGAATATAAAAAAATAGAATTCATAATGCCAAATAATGTCAAAACATATTGTCTAATTAAAATTAATATGAAATACCAATATATATTTGAATAAATTCATATTTTAGTCTTGGGTATATTTCGTAGATAAGAAACACCCTAAATAAAAGTAAAACGTAAAGAAAGTATCAAAATATGAGCTTCATGTTTTAATCCCAAAATAGGAGTTTGAACTGTGATAATATGACACTGCATATGTACATTTTACAATACTTTTTGGTGATGTATATGATCATGATTGCCACTGTACTCATATTTCGAGAATAAAAATATAGAATTTTTATTTTGGTATATTTTCAATGTGTTATTCCTACTCTAGTTTTTTTACCTTCGTAGATAATATATACCGTGTACAACAAGTTGTACATTGTTTCTCGCACATCCGCGGCGAGTACTCATTTTCAAGTAAGAGAGTACTCATTTTGGAGTAATTAAATATACATTTTTCTAAAATTTTGTTATGTTACAAAAAAGATGGAGCCCACCAATGAATGATATGTGTAGTCTCTCCTACACTTTTTAATTAAGGGTTTTTCTCTCATGCCTTCTTATTAGAGAGTTAAATGTATGGAGCATTCCACAAAGTTTAATATGGAGAAACAGAGCAACGTTAATTTCAAAATTTGCAAAATGCTCCCTCTAAATCAATGGCATACTATACATTACTCTTATCAATTATTTAATCCACCGTTTATTTTTTTTCCTTCTTTAACAAATCACTCAAAGTAAAAGTAAAATATTTATCTCCAAAATATTATCTCTGTCTTGAAGTATTTGTCCAGCTTTGTACAGTAATAAGTATTTTTTGATATTATATATTGACATCATTGTTAAAAATTCTTATTTAGAAATGAAATATTGAAATCCTATTTTGTATGTTTGCTATGTTTTACTCATAGTTTAGTCTTTATTAATACTTCAAAAATATAATCTGGCCATCTCAATCATAACTTATTTATATTTATTTACTACCTTCGTCTATAAGTATTTGTATAGTTTTAACTTTTCACAATAAAAATAGATAAACTTTAAACATTAATTAAATAAAATTTATATCAGATATTTATTCAAGAATAATTTTATTAGATAGATTTATCTTGTAAAATATTTTTTTAGATATTATTTTATCAAACTAATATCCCAAATAAATTTTTATTATCGATTCTTGTTTACTAGAAAAAATCAAAGTTGGATAAATACTCAAGGACGAAGGTAGTGATTATGAATTGATAGATCAAATTTTGGAGCTTTACAAAATTCAAAGGGTTTTTGACAAAATTGATTATAATTCATAATTTAAAATTAATTATTTTTAATTTAAAATTTTTGGTAGTAGAAACTGCCAAAATTAAAATACTAATGAAATATTCTTCATTGGAATTTTTTGACAAAACTCTACAAAATATACAATCTTACGTCGAAACACTGCTAAATGTTTTAGACAAAATTAACTTTTCGTAATGTTCAAAATGTAATTCAAATACCCCAATATTTTGTATGCGTGTGCATTCATTGTGTTGATCATTTGATAAAATAAAATAGACATGTCATCACCACTTGCTTTGTACAACTTTTGATGTAGTTTTTGAATATATATAAGTTATACGGAGTAGTTTTTATTCCTATACGATTAAGTAAATATAATTATATGGAAATATATACAATTTTTCACGTTTGAAATATAATGATAATTTTGGAATGGATAGAGTATAAAAAGCATGATCGGATGCGAAATATAACAATATTGTTTTTTTAAATAAATACATATGGGATAATATTAAAATAAGTATGTACAAAAAAGTTTTTTATTTTAATTTTCAATAGAACCAAACACAATTAAAAATTCAATTGAAATTTCATTTAAAATTTTTAAACAAGAAGAGAGGGTTTTGCAAATTTTGATATAGAGTGATGGGTGCCATTTGGAGCGAGCATTTTGCAAATTTTGAAACTAAGTATGCTCCATATTAAACTTTGTAGAATACTCTCATTATTATTTATCCACATGTCACTATTTAAATGGAAGGGCATCCATGCCCTTTGAAATAAGAAGGCATGGGAGAAAAACCCTTTAATTAATGACAAAACCCAATCATACTTGCAAGAGAAGTCCAAAACCCAAAGACTATCTTCTTTCCTTTATATTCCGTGTATGTATATATATATATATAGGAGCGTCTAAAATGACACCAGTTACTTATACACCAATTGCTTACACCAGTTCGTTTGGGGTACCTACGGTGCTCCGTTTGTAAAAACGA